TGTATATGTGGAGGAGCTTTGTGACAATTAATGCTGTGCTGCAGCTGAGGCAATATTGAGGCTAACAATTTAAGACCTGTGCAGCTATGGGTCTATGGTAGCTGCATGTGCAGGAATTGTGTGGAAATGAGGCTACAGCTGTGGCAATATTGAGGCTAACAATACCCAGTAGACAGCAAAGCCTACATTATCGTAAGGAATCATACAGTAAACTACTGGACATTAGTCGAATTATTGGTATCACAATACTTGGTAAACATCTACTTCTCTTGATTATGGAACTCTGTATGTACAGACAGTTTTTACGTTTGAGACAATCTATTTTAACTAATACCAGTAAGTCATATATTTTGTGAGTACAATGTTGTAGATTTTCAATTAACTGATTTAAACTACTTATAACACTGATAATATTGCCATGTTAATTAACACCACACTTAATACATACTTTCTCTCTGATAATTCAATTTGTTGGAATCACACATGAAATGTATGAACTACCAGGTGATCAGTTATGACATTACATTTGATATAGTTTAGGCGTCATTTTAGCCATATTTGAATATCTTATCCGTAATGTGTAAAGCATACACAATGAATGTGAAACTTGATCCTGTCTGATCAGTTCACATATTGTATGACCTGCAAATATGAATAGGTGCAGGTACATTCAGAGTAGTGATGCATATATTCCAGAATAATTGAATATAATATTTGAATGAACATGTATTCTAATCTTTGTGAATATTTTATCATTAAAAAATATAGTATACTTTGGCATTGCGATTGTCAATCCTTGTCAGGCTTATTTACATATTAGAAAAAATATATTTTTGATCAGAATTGAGATACAAAGTCATATTCCACATATTATCTCCATCAATTATCACATTTTGTACTTTATATACAGCAAATGTATTTTTTTTTTGATTATGAAATATTTATATTCCTTTCATTTTATTTCATTTTATTCAATACACAGATCAACTAACAAACCTGGATATAATTACATTGTATTACCGACAGTCATCATAAAGACAACAACAACTAGAATAAATATGTAACAAGTGACATACCGGGGGTAATGGTTGAAATAGATACATGAATATCATAGTGGTTAAACCACAGTGCCTCTATCCAGATAGAGGGACTGTGGTTAAACGAATAACCTTGTCTTTGTTTACATTGTATTATAACTGTCTCCACACATATGTTATATTAAATAAATTCAATAGTACTCAAGTAGTAGATTCATCAACTCTGATTCAAGTATGAAATTAGTAACATGTTTCCCTAATGTCACAAAAGGAACTAATCTAATACACCATGTAGAAGTCCTTGCAAGGTACAGTATAACAAGTATCTAAAAAAAACGGTTGCGGTATATTATTTTCATCTAAAATCAAAAATATTGTCCCAAAGTGAACAAATCTGCCAAAGGTCCACCCAAGGTACCTACATACCAAGTATCAAAGAAATTGAGTTGGTAGTTTTCAAAAAGTCGAAAATAGCATTTTTCACCAAAGATGACAAAAAACATTTCCAAAAAATTGAGAATTGAAGATTCCATCACAAAATGAACAAATCTGACAGAAGCCCACCCAAGGTAACTGTGTCCAGGTATCAACGAAATTGAGCTGATCATTTTCAAGAAGAAGTCGAAAATGCAATTGACAGACTATGTACAATCATCTATATGAACAGATCTGCTCTGTCAAAGAGTAGTGGTATGAATAACTTAGATTAAAAACTAATACTTGCAAGTTGTCACAATCAGGTTGTGATAAAATTATGTGCATTTTGGCAACATGCGAAAATGAGTGGATATACTAAGCTGTTAAATATCACAGTGGTCCCAGGGGTGAATTTTGAGGAACATCCAATGATGCAATAAACTACTGTTGTCATCCCGTACTATATACAGGAAGATTGACGGTCAACAATGTAGTTACTAAAAATACCAAATTCTAAGGCTTTGTGAAGAAGCAATGTGTGACAGACAGTAGAGATTGCCTTACTGAAGTCTGCGTAGATCACGTCATCCTGTTTTTTCACCATAACCTACATTAATCCTAAGAACTGTCGCTCAACACTGAGACGCAGTGGCGGCGACACAGAGGGAACGATCGCCCCCTCAAAAAAAATGTTGGGGGACGTCGCCCATCTAAAATCAAGTTGAAGCCCTATGTGTCAGCAAAATTTGCCCCTCAAAATACAGAAAATAGCATTTCAGAAAGTCTAGATTTCATGCCGCCCCCTCTGACCTATAAGGTAAATCATATACTTGATACAAATACATGTGTACTTTTAAACTTGTAATTTAACTTTTTAAGATTCTGTATAATGCCAAGTCAAGTCAAATTATAAAATGAATTTAAGAAAAAATATGACAGGTCATATCACCTACCATCACAAATCTGATTAAAATCTTATGTATTGTACAGCGTGTATTTTATTTTATATATTTTTTTTACTTTTACTATTTTTTTTAATAATTTTGTATTTTTTTTAATGTTTTTTGTTGCATACTTGTGATTTGGTAGATTTTTAACATTTGTATTTACCAAAACTCTAAAAAAACTATCAACAAATAAATAATAGATCCAAATAAAATAAAATAAAATAAAAACATGAAAAACAAAAACAAAACTAGGATCTTATTTTAATCAGATTGTTACCACCACCTACCACGGTTGTGTAACATGGGCACCAGTGGTGGTAACTGAATGTAAATAACTGCCTTAACAGCTCCAACTCTGGTGAATATCTAGGCATTAAAATTCATTGGATATTGAAAACTATGTTTATACACCTGTAGTTAACTAGTTGTTGTAAACGAACTGTGTCCCCTTCCCTGTGTCCCCCGTGGCTCCTAGTTGGTAGACATTTTATAAGTATTTGGTTGTGCTGGACACCAAATAAACGAATGGTCACCAGATGCACTTCTGGGGCGGGCATTAATTTCAAAATTGTTAATGTTTGTTTTGTTGTAATAAAATAAAAAGCTAAATGATGTGCACCGATTTCAACATTTGGAATTTCACACTTTATACAATAGAATAAACGAATAGCCACCATATGCCACAATTCGAAGCTAATTGCCCAATCAAAGAGTGCAGTGTGTGATTTGAAATCAATAAATAAAAAGAGGTCAAAAGAATATGTTGGTTGTGACAACAATAGTTGGGTTTGACACTAATTTTGACTTCCTCAAAATATCCAATTAAATTGTTATTTATTTTATTGCGTTATACTTTTTGAAAACTACTAACCCCTGGACGACATATAGGTTTTATATCTGGGATGCAAGTAAACTTAAATTGAAAACTTGCTGCAAATGTTTAGGAGTTCAGGATAAACTAGAAAGATTCGAAATAGTCCATTTATGTACGTATTTCAAGTTCCAAAATTCGTGAAACAACTGGTCAGTTGAGAACCCAACATATCAAGTTTTTTTGCACTCTTCGGGAGATTTAATTCTTAGGCAGGGCCTAAGGGAAAGCCCCGTCATGTTTTGTTAGTATTTGTGTATTAATGGTCTGTCAAAAATATAGTTTTTTTTGTTTCTGAAAGATTTGTGACATTTTTTGATAGATTACAGCATCATAATGAAGTGCGGAACGCACGAATGGGTCCGAGTGCAGTTGTTCCTTATACTCTGCAATGACGTCATATCTAGATGATGTGAAATTCCTATTTAATGCCTTGTAAGACCCGCTTCTGTGCAACATTCCTTGACACAAGTCGAAAAATGGTAAATTGTACACTTCTTGAAACAACTGCAACGATGTTTTAAATTGTTCCGTTATACCTACTACAGTAAACCAGTTTTCTAAATTATCTAAAACGTACAGAAGAAGAGCGTTTCGATCATCAGCAGTAAGCTGATTTTCTATAAATGATTTATGCTTATACCAACATGGGTACTGTCTGCGTATAAATGATGGAAGCATGTCCGCCAATGTTTTTTGGCAAACAATAGAAGGTTTGTACAAAAGCTGATGAAAAAAGTAACTTCCTTGAAGCAAAGACCATTCTTTGAGAGACAACTTAGACGCATCAGCGGCAGCACATATAGGATCTGTGGGATCAGAACCATCTTTACAGTAATGAAAACTGGAAATAGTTCGTTCATAAGGTTCTCGAATTATAGTGAAATAGGAACAAGATTTATCCACCAGTTCATCACAGACACCAAACGCGTTTTCGCCTTTGTAAAATACACGATCCTTTCTGAGATTCTCTGCTAGGTGTCTGTCATAAATCTTTTGAGGCTCTGGAAAGCCGAGTTCCTTGCTTATTCTATCTATACATTGTTTCAATGTAGTACCTCCAGATTTCTGGCTATGTACATATATAATTGCCGACTCGCAGCATTTACGTCCTTTCATATTTATTTTCTTTATTGGCGTTTCGTCTGAACGTGTAAAGACATTCGGAGTGTAGTGATTTCTCTTCATCCATGGATACTTAATAAAAATATTCAGCGTTTGGTTGTTCAAAAATCGATGGCTAGTTTGCGATATTGGCATAGTCGGGGATAATCTAATAAAAAAACACATTTACATTGCATTATTTAACATTCTAGTAACCATGACTACTACATGTGCGTCGCTAATTTCATAGTTTCTAAATTTTTTGAGTTTCAAGTGAACTATGGTGGTTTATGATAAATGTTTCATGGACGCGGCGTGTAAGTCGGAAAAATATTACCGATATTTATACCTATCTTGAACAGAAATAAGACCCGTCCGATACTTATACCTAAAATCAAATTAACGAGACCCATTTCAGGGGCACGTTCCCATTAGGCAAGTTCTATTATTCCCCCCCCCCTCTCCGGGGGATATCACCCTCAAAAAATGTGAACGTCGCTTTACTT